ATCACCTCCCTCTTCCCCCCAGGAACTAGCCAAGTTCAAATGCTACACCAAGCCTGAATCTTTGGCCATACTATAGAAAATGCCTTTTTCCTGAAGTAGTTGGTCTGGGCTACCACACTCCACCACTTCTCCTCTGTCCAGGACCAAAACTCTGTAAAACAGGGGGAAAAAAAAAAAAAATGTCACAAGACAATGCAGAAAGCCAAGGAACACAGATGTGTATATACGGACGGACACTGACTCTACCATTGTTGTTATGTGCAAGTCAAGACAGCCCAGAGCATATGAATGAATGGTCAGAGGTTCTCAACTCTGTCCTTCCTCCTATCACTGCAGATGGTCTGTCTGGTCTATTTTTTATGTGGCATGTATTTACCCAGTCATTTGCAGGCAGCCATGAGACTCTCGCCTGTGCTTTGAGTCAGCCAGAAACTAGATGGCAGCACTTCTTGGCAAGGTGAGAGCCACCAAAACCTGACAAGGTCTGAGACAGGCTTCCCAAAACCCTGCACCACGCCCACTGCTGCATTTTGTCTGCAGAAGCTGTGTAGCAAAGAGGTAGCTCACGCAAAACAGAAGCGCCCGGGAACTAGGAGGTTTACAAAGCAAGTTCCCAGAGCCAGTAAAGTCGGCTCAGAGCTAGGGCACAGCCATCGGGCACCTCCCCGCGCTGGCCGGGCACTGCAGGGACGCCTGCCAAGCCCTGAGCAGGTTCTGCTGCACAGCGTCACCCGAGCTGGCTGCTCTTCATCTGGTGACAGTACTGCTGGTGCTGGTGCACAGGCAGTGCTCCTGTCTCTTGGCTTTCACTATTAACAGCACCAAGAGAAGTCTTACCACAAAAATCTTATCACTGGTCGCTTTTGCCATTCCGGGAAAAAAGGACAAGAGAGCTTAGAAAGCTTAAAACTACAGTTATGAAACAAAAACTCTGCTCTCAGTCACACCTTACCAGGCAGTTGAGGATGAGGGAGGCTGTATGAACTATAACCAGAAGTGATGGAAAGAGAAACACTGAATAAAGTTCAGACAAGCACAGGACATGCCCCTTTGATTCCTTATGCTGTCTGTGCCTGGTTTTAGGGTATGAGCTCCCTAAAGCCCTGATGCGTCTTCCAGCTGTGCCTAAATTAGGTCAAAACCCAGGAACAGACTCCTCTCCTTGCCTTCCTCCCCCTCCTGGTTTGCCTGGGCAGGAACTACATGACAGCAGTGCAAGAGGGATCAGAGGAGCTCCCCAGGGCAAGCACAGCCACCACAAGCCAGAACACACACCCCCCCACTGCCCATCAAAACAGGGACTCCAGCAGCTCTGCAGAGAGGTACCTTAAAACACATTTAGCTCGTGCAAAGCTGCTCATTTTAGTACAGCACAATGTAGGTCACACACAGCACTCTTCAAGATAAAAGTGGTGTTACCTTACCTTGTGTAGTCCATGATTGTGTTCAGACGATGTGCTATGGTTAATACAGTACATTCTTCAAACTGAGACTTTATTGTTGACTGAATAAGCTTATCTGTTTCAAGATCTACAGCAGCTGTGGCTTCATCCAGAACGAGGATTTTGGACTTCCTGAGCAGAGCTCGTGCCAGGCACACCAGCTGGCGCTGTCCCACACTGCACAGGTGGGATGGGAAAGGAGGGTGAAAAGTCAGAACAAGTTTGCAGGAAACATTTTGAAGCCCAGTAGTTGCTGGTAAGAACTCCTCTAAAGTATAATTGCCAAGAAGCCAGCAAAATAAGGTCAGTCTTACTGCTCCACTATGGAGTAGCTATAAGCATCTGAAACCACATCCCCCTCACAGTGAAGTCCTGGCCATGTAATCAGCACCTATGCTACAAATGCTTCAGCATAACTGCATCAGGCCATCTCACTGAACTGATGAAGTGCTGAGGACTGGCCTTTAAATGGCTTCCACAGACTGAACATACAACCCTGTTATGGTACAAAAAGCAAGGTAAGGACTTCCTTAGAAACACTGCACCTTTTAGGCAAGAGCCATGGTAAGTTCAAAGCATCCACTATAAATAGCAGGCTGCTGCTACTAAAACCCTTCCCAAGGGTCCAGCCTCACAGCATTCTGAATATTTCCTAAGTTCCTTTAAATTCCCAAACTTGATTTAAAACATGTTGAATGAAACCTAGTTGAGTTGACTGCCTGGTCATGCACTAAAAATTCTCCAGTTTGCTCCCCACATACTCATATGGAGGTGGGAGAGAGCCCCACACTACATTGCTGTTGCTGGGGTCTAGCCATACATTGTCCAACCTGAGCTGTAAGGTTTCTGGAAGTAGAAAGTCTAGCTGCAGAAGGGAGGGCATCAGTTCTCATTTAGTTCTTCAGGCAATTTTCACAAGCACAGTTCTTTGACATACCTGAGGTTCTCTCCACCTTCAGCACACTCATGATTAAGTTTATCAGGAAGGGACGATACAAAGTTTTTCAAGTGAGCCAATTCCAAAGATCTCCAAATGTCCTCATCAGAGTGTTGATCAAAAGGATCAAGATTCATCCGCAGAGAGCCAGAAAACAATATCGGATCCTAGCCACAGAAAGAAGTAACTGACAATGTACACACAACATGGCAAGCACTCCAAAAATATTTCTTAAACAGTGTAAGGAAGACATGTTCAGATGCAGTTGCAAGCAAGCTTATCTACTGAATTCAGGAGTGAGACCTCACTTTTTTCAGCTACAGCAGGATATTCTTCCTCACCCTTACTCCTGACCTCTGCCGACTCTGGCACTCCAGACTCTTCCATGAGTCAGTAACTCATGAATCTACAAGGGGGGGGTTGGAAGGAAAAATAAAAAAAAAAAAAAAAAAAAAAACACCACACACCCCCCCCCCAAAAAAACCCATCAGTTAGAGAACAGACACTCCCTGCCCAGCCTTCTGTCAGCAGGGACTACTACATCAACTTTCCACTTCTTTGTGAATTGCACAATCTGTGAGTAATTTGAAAGTCTTCAGCTGCAGCACTGAACAAGCTAATTTTTTAGGGGACATTGAGAAACAGGAAATATTTTTGACCTCGTAGTGTCAGACTAACATGAAGTGATCAAAAGGAGAAAGCAAAGTCCTCCCAGATTCACAGAAGAAGTGGTACAGAAAATCTCTTACAGTGTGCTCACTTGTTTTTGTCAGTCTGCTGCAACAGTTATAAACACATTTTATGGTCTTCATTTGAATCAAACAGGCAGGCAATAAAGGGTACACAGTAACGAACAAGACGACTTAGGACTTGAAGTCCAGTGCTTGTAAAGCCTGATTTCCAAGTGTTTTGGACCATCAAACCCACAGTTGCTGGGCTAGACTGGGATGGTTATGCACAGGTTTCTGTGACTGAACTGTGCTGCAAAGCTCACTCGTGAGATCCTGCCCAAGTCAGAATGCTTTGTATCGTGGAGTAAAGCCTGCACATCAGGCCTGAAACAGCAGTGCAGAATCCCAAACCCTCACAACTAGACTGTGCAGTGATTTCATTCAATTTCTAAGAAGAATGGAACTAAAATGGAAGTAGAAACTGATCTCTAGAAAAACTCACCTGAAGGTTCTCCACAAGTGGAAATACTCAGACTTTACTTCCCTTCTACTGGCCAAAAAAGCAACGGTCCCAGCTACCTTAGGGACCTGATCAGGTGTTCAGTTGGGACCAGACCTCCCCACTCAGGCTAAGCTGGCTCAAGCATTTAAGTGATCAGCATGGGGTTCTGACAAAGCCCATGAGTCCAACAGTTTTGCTTCCGTATCACAATTTGGCCATAGCCAAGCTCCTGCTAGTTACCCAGCACAAGCAGATCAATGCAGGTCTAGGAAAAAAAACTTATTTTCAAGTTCATGAAAGAACTTGTTGAACTGTATTCTCCCCAGTACATCACAGGAACAACACTGTCCTGAGTTGTGGTTAATGTCAGGACTTCACACCTACCTGGGGGATGATGGTGATCTTAAATCGCAAGTCATGGAGTCCTATCTTCGCAATATTAATTCCATCAATAATGATTTCTCCTTCAGCTGCTTCATTAATCCGAAACAAACCTAAAGTAAGTGAGGATTTTCCAGCTCCTGTTCTTCCAACTATCCCAATCTGTTGGGAAGAAATACAGGAACAACTTACTCTGGGGAAGAGTTAAAGCATTTCCAAGCATCTGCCTGAAACTGACCCATTTTTAGAAGACAATCATATCTGCTGGGCTATCAACACCCCAAAACAGCATAACAAGTTGAGGCTGATCAAAGAGGAAGAAAAATCACTGGATATGAAGCAACAAGAACCAAAAGCAGTCCAAATTTGCAATCCAATCTCAGAAGTTTTCCATTTTTCAAGAAACACAGGTGGAATTGGGTAGAGCAGGCCAAGGTTTCCTTATTTCTTTGTTTGGGTCATGCTTCACAGTTACTATTGCTAACTTGATGTTTATCTTGTTTGACTTTGTAACAAAAATATACTAGAAGCATTTGTTTTCATACTGTATATGTTCTGCTTCCCGGTTGGACTGATGTCTTCACCAATTCTTTTCCTTTTTTAAAAATAAACATAAAATATTGTTACTCTGGTTGATAGATCTCTTGCCACCTGCCCTTTCTAACCACTCTTGAGGTAGTATTCTGCCCAGACTGGTAGGCAGAAAGCATACACTCAGGACAACAGCAAATCCCTATCTGAACACCACAAATAAGGAAGCCAGATGGTAGATCTGTCTTGCCGCTACCTTTTAAGCGGCCATGCAAGATCAGACTATTATTAGACATCAGTAAATCTACACAGGACTGGGGCAGGATGTGTGTGAGCACGTGTGAGGAAGCAGTAGGAAAGCCACACAAACATATCACCCTCTCTTTGGCCACATCCAGAGAATCTAGTCTGAAGTTCTATTTTTCCTGCAGTCTCACCCTGCAACTTCTGCCTCACTAGAACAGGGCTTCACCCCTCTTCTTTAGCACACCGCTCATTTGCTTGAGACTGTAACTAGCCTAATCTCTCTGTTACCTGTACTCTTTGCTTACAGCAAACAATTAGCAAGATTTCCTGGAAAGGGGAGAGAAGACAGCATAAACCTCACCTCCTTACAAAACTAGGCCAAACGATACCTTACATACCCACACAATAGTGTGACTTTATCCCATGATGCAAGAAACACCTTGAAAAAAGATAAAAAGACCAGAACATCTGCCACTTACACCAAGTCTGATTCTACAGAATCTCTTCCAGTTCTTAAGGACCCAAGTCACACTACAGAACAGGGTTAGACCTCTCTTTGGCTTATGTATGCAGGCTTACAAACAGAAACACTCCACTATAAATTCAGATTTGTTACCTTCTCACCCCCATTTATGGTAATATTTATGTTTTTCAGAACCAAATCCAAATCTTCACGGTAACGTAAACCATAGCCTCGAAACTCAACCTTCCCCTCCTCAGGCCAGGTACTCGCTGGGGCAGTTTGTTCAATACTCCATTCAGCCTGAAAGAACCACACAAATGTACACAGTCAGCTCCTCCTTCAACCAGATACAGGCTCAGAGGATTCAAGGGAAGCAATGAAGAAAACCCCTTGCTAGTATGTAATCTGCAAAAGGAACTGTGATGTGATGGCAAGAGGCAAAGAGCTGCCCCAAGGGAAATGAAATAGTACATGCAGCCGAGAACTTTAGTATCACAAGTCCCACTAGCTGGATAAATTTTCCTCTTACAAATCTCAGAATCATACAGGCACCAGGTATTCAGATAACCTCAGAGAACAGCAAGGAAGCTACTTGTGAAAGCCAGATGTGCAACTAGAAGCAGTTTAACTGAGATATAAGAACTAAAATATTAACAGAAGTCAATATATGTGTCAACAGCTGCTGCCTCGGTCTCCCACAGAGGGCAGAGAGAACACAGCCCACTGCATTCACTGCCAATGCCAAACAAAAAGGCCTTTACCTGTATAAACACTGGTCTGCTACCAGAACCTGAGAAAAAAAGAATGTAGGAAGGGTCCTCACAAGGTTTGGCTGCAAAAGTAGTTACTCAGGTCAGGTTCGGCTGACAGGCATGGCAAAGAGAAGCCACAAGGAACTCTTCTGTAGCCAAAAGGGGCACAACTGCAGACGAGATGATTTGTTACGTGATTTGAATCAAAACAAACAAAAAAGTAAAATGTCTTTAATCCCCACACTGAGAGCAAAGTGAGAAACAAAATTTAAAAAGAAGTGTTTAAGCACTTAGGAAACCAAAGCATTTGTACAGCTCCACTGCTTAGCCCAGAGCAGAACAGTTAATCTCCTGAACAGGACTGTGTAAGTATCGGTGGCTACACCTCAAAAGCACGCACAGGAACTACTCACTAAGGTCCAGCCTGTCCTCCCCGGGAGGCCACTGACAGCACTAAGCTCTGTCCCACCCCTCAGCTCAGAGGACATGCAGCTGCACTCTCCAACACTCAGCCAGGCTGTGGGTGAGACCTCAGAACACAGCACTGACTTCTACAGTTGTGGTGGACGACTCTACGTACCTCCTTCTCCATTTCGGCGTATTCCTTGACTCTTTCAACTGCAACGATGTTGGTCTCCAGCTCCGATGACATGCGAACTAGCCAGTTTAAGTATGCTGTAATCTGCAAGAAGAAAAGAAGTCTAGAAGAAGTTTACACTCAGTATTTTACCTGTGATTAAAAAAACACAAAAGAACCAAAGCACTGCAAGTTCATGGAATGCATGAACACAGAGAAGATCTTAACTCAGCCGTGCTGGATGGGAGAAAAGTCCAGATGCCTTTAATATGTAGGTGATGAGTCATCTTAGCCACATTCCCTCGCAAGGCAAGGCACAGAAGGGACCTCCCAGCATCCTTCCAGACACTATTTGTAGCTACCACTCTCTTCCCATGTTTCCCTCCAAAGCCACGGCAATTTTCTGACTTTCTGACGCAGAGGTAAAGTTACCTGCAGTGAGTAGGACACTGAGAGGCCAACCAGTCCTGCACTAAGTTTGTTGCGTGCGATCACCGCAAACAACGCTGCAAAGAGGACAATACAGTTGCCCACGTACTCCAGTCGCACAGCCAGCCACCTGCAAGACACAAAAACATAACGCATCTTTCTGGCAATTCACCCACAGAGAATTAGGAATGTGGCCAGCCAATGTTCTGTCTCACATCTTGCTTTTTCAGATTAGTAATATGGCATCTCCATACTACCAACAGCATAGGAATGGCAAGATATTTGAGGTTCTGCTGCAGCAGAACGCAAACCCAGAGGCACCCAAAATTATTAAACTTTTCAGGGACATAAATTCCTGCCTTAGTTCAGAAAGCAGCTGTGGTTCATTGGGATCAACAATTCAAAGCTTTTAAGAAAATATTACCCAGAAGTAAGACAGGACCTCTCAGAAAGAAAACAAATTCACAAGTAACCTTAACTCTAACACAGAAGCTTAATCAAAACATCTGTGAAACAGCTGTATCCACAGAGGCTTCCCTAGGCTGGGCAAGTATGCTGAGAGCTGTGATGGGTAACAGGGAACAGGCAGCAGAACCACATCCACCCTAAATAACAACCTTCCAATATTTCAATCCCACAGTTACCTGTTTGCAACAATGCTGGGATAATAAGCTTTCTGATTTTCATCCACTTTCATGTCGTTCTGCTTTATGAAGCGTTTCTGCTCCTCAAAGGCTCGAATGACACTGACTCCCAGGAGTGTCTCATTGAAGTGGGAATAGACAGGAGAACGACTGACGGACTCCAGGCGTTTGAGCTGGCGTGAAGTGGCCACATAAAATCTCTGCAAATCAGAGTATGAGAATTATGGTTACATCCAGACTGTGTTGGTAAAGACAAAGGGAATCATAAGAGAGTTCCCTGCCATTTGGGCTGTAAGCTGCTGTCTTTAACCAACAACACATCAAGCCATTTCATGCAACAGCCATGTTCTCCTCATTCTCTTCCCTGCAAGCTTAGTTCAACAGGATACAACACATCAGAGGTTCTTAAGGTTTACTAATGCAGCCTGACAGATTCACTAATTCAAGAGCCAAAGTTAAAACTGACCTGCTACCCTCTACTCTGTACCAGCTCGACAAGATTCTTAAGTTACTCTTAGGAAGTAGAACACTTCACTCTTAGGAGTGAAGCAAGCACACCATGCCTACACAAGACAGGAGTGAAAGACTGCCACTGTTTCTCTCCCCCTGTAAACAACACTCTAACAAAACATCAGCAAAGCACACACACCCCTCTAAAGGCTACTCCTTTGTTTAGAAGTTTTAGAAAAGCTCACATATTTTCCACACATTATCCTCACATTATTTTCCTCACATATTATCTGGGCTCTGAGCCACAACCTATAGAAAATTAAGCTCAAAATCTAATGGCATTTTTACAAAGTCTGCTTAGGTATTAAAGGATTACCTTCTGCACAGAAGTCACTCTGCACTTGACAATGGAAGGAAATGCTCTGCTAACATCAGCTAACCAATAAACCATGCAAAGCACAGTCAGTCAAGCATGACTCAAACCCAACACATTAAAATCCAGAGGATGAGTGACTGCTGGTCCCACTGCCCCCAGGTAAAACCCCCTACCTGCACAAACAAGTAGACAAGTCCCAGAGGTGGAATAATGACAGCAGCTATGGGCGTGGCCAGCAGAATGATGATACAAGCTCCAATCACGTTAAATGTCGAGCCCATGAACATCTTGATGATTGGTGGAATGGTGGAGTCAATGGTATCTATCTCCTTAGAGAAACGATTCACCAGATTTCCACTGGGTGTACGTTCAAAGAAACTCATTGGAGACCTCAGGACGTTGTGCAGCAGGTTAAAGTGCAGGTGTCGTGACGCAAATATTCCCCCTATTGACACAACCATCGAGTAGCCAAACACAGCAATACCTAGAAAAGAAGATTTGGTTTTAACTGCTTCCATCTCTCACACAAAACATCTTCCTTTAGTTTGTCATCAGTCAGGATTAGCACACCTCCAGTACAATAATCCTAAGAATTGGAATTCACTATATATAGACTCAGCAATTATTTCAAGTAATTAAAAAAACAATCATGAAAACAGCACATTTCTTTAATAGAAGAAGTTGCTTCTCCACTACAAAATTTTGTGTAATATTTGAGCACTGTCCTTCGGTAAACACTGAATTTTAAGGTGGCTTTTAATTTTTATGGAAGGATTTCTATAGCAATTCTGAAGTGGGTTATTTGGGGTGTTAGGTTTCATGGTAAACAAACATTGACCATAAAGAGGACACAAAAAGATACCAAGCTGGCCTCCTTGTGGTGCCTTGGATGGACCCTCAAACAGCCAGAGGAAACACCAGCCTACACAGCTCAGTCAGGCTGTGGCCTCCTATGACAAACTATCCCTGCAAACCAGGCTAGCATGGTTGATTTACAGGCCAAGGATCCATTCCCTGGGTCAAATGTTTTGACATTACTGTTGGTTCATCAGCCCCTGCAAACCGCTATCTATCTTGTTTTGTACAAGTGAAAGAAAACCATCTTCACTAACTGGATCATCTCATAGTCTGATTTGCTTGCCTTTTTAAAATTCACTCAAGTTTTTAATCTTTCTACAAAGGAAAAAGAAAAAAAAACCACACACACAACCCACACTTAAATCAGTTCTGTGGCTACAAGGTCATCAAGAGCCTTAGAAACATTCTGAACCAGCTAATCTTTAAGACCAAGCAAACCTTGAGAAATTCCCAGTGCTCCATACACTCCCAGTCTGATACTTGTGTACTGCTGTGTCCCATTGATAACAGGATCATCTGTCCATAAACTTAGCCAGTAGTTGGAAGCCAGGGAGGCTATATGATTACACATGAAGAGGAAGATGCTCAAGAAAGAGATAAAGAGTCCAATTGCTTTCATGTAGTCCCAGTACACTGATGCCTTTACCTAAAGACAGAACAGGAAAAAAATCAAATATACATATTAATTTTGCAGATTAAGTTTCAAACCCTGCAATTTCCCCTTCTTCATCCCCTATTTAAAGTCAATATCCCTGCATCAGGCCATAAAAACATAACAGTTACACTCCAGAGAGCCACTGCTTTGGAAGACAAGTTGCAAAGTTCTATGGAGAAGTGCCAAACCCAACATCCCTTCAGGGCAGGCACACATCATCTTTCCCTTGTCTTCCAAGTAAAGGGGAGGGTAGGGAGAGCTGCCTGAAATAACAGAGTATCAGTGGCAGAGCCAAAAACTTCACTGAGGAGTTCCAGTTTTCAGCTTTTTCTTTTTTACCACAAGATTATATAGCCTTTAATTAAATCCTTGCTCCACATGGCTTGTATCCTATGATCTATCTTTAACCAGAGTATTCAAGCAACACTGCTAGGAGGTGTAACTGCTTTTTTCCCAGGAACCTCACTTTCCCATTCCTCAGAAAGCCCTGGCTGTCCTGAGATTAGATACCTGTGTCTACAGTGGAAAAGTGTGTTAAATTAATCGGAGTCAATTCCAGGTCCTTACACTGAAGAGCAGATTTCATTAGGTCACCTAATTCATCAAAATCTCTCTCCAACAAATGCCTTCAAGGTTTTAATTTGTTCTTTTAAACTTCGATGTGGTCAGGGTCAACATCTTAAACAAAAGTCTTGGTGTCAGCACTGTTTCTGCACACAAACCTGTGGCTCCACTTTGGGAGCAGAGGGCACAGCAACACTTCCATTAATTACTACACAAGCTGTAAGTCCAAGAATCCACTCAGACCTTTCTCACCCCAGTTACACGGTCTTTGAAAGCTACTTTACTCTGAAACCTGTGGATTTTTCTGGAACTGAAAAGACAGTGGAGGAAGCAAGAATGGGAGACCTTACCCTCCCAGTCTTCGCCGTGTCAGCCTCCGTCAGTTTCCAGGAATTCTTTTCAGCAAGTGGCTTCTGCAGCTCTGCTGTGCTGCTCTGGTGCTGGGACTTCCCAGTGTCTCTGCTGTATGTTGACGAGTTACTGAGTTGCCTGTTTGAAGACATTAACCTGTCAGTCTTAGCATGGTAGAGGCCAGCTGTTTACTTCATGACAGACCTTAACAGTCCACAAACCCAAGTCAGCAGCTTACACATAATTCTGTGATAATCCATCTCCTAACCAGTTACCATCAGGCCAGTGGTTACTGGCCCTCACAGTGCACTACTCCTAAACCCCCCTGATGGCATCAGTACTCAAGAGTCCATCTTCAGATACAAGTAACAGGCCAGCCAGTCACTTAAGTCTTGATTGAGCAATCAAAATCCCAAAAGAAAAATGCTTGGTGATCATCAACATCAGCATTTATAACCTCTATCATCATATAGAGTGCAGCTTTTGGAGTGTAAAATGGGTAGTCACTCTGGCACCAAAATGAGCAATTGCACTCCCAGCACTCACCAGCTTCCAGAAATACAGTATCTCTAGAGCACCGTAGGAACATGGCATAGACTATGAGACTGATTTTGGGAAGGTATAATCATGGTGATTGCCTTTGGTCTCTCAAGCATAACAGCAGCTGTACTAGGTTAGACTAAAGGTCCATTTAGCACTTCACCCCATCTGACAGCAACCACCTGCAGAAGCCTTGGGAAAGCTGGACTAACCAACACAATACTCTCCCTTCCCCAAGAGCCAAAAACCACGTATCTTGCCACAACACAATTGTTTCTTCACATGGAAAGAAGAGTAGCACAGGAGCTCTGTGCTACATGACCAACAGTCTGTACCAGCAACTGGAGCTGGGCTGCAGCCTCAGAGGTTCATGTGCCCAGGTCCTAGCTACTGGGGAGACAGATCCAAAGGACTGGACAGGCTGTCTGAGGCCAACCAGGGGAGGGATCTATCTGGTACACGCACATATTCTCACTAGCAAACCTCCATCCTGCTCAGACAGAGATGGGGCAGGATGAGGCCACTTGGTCCCGTGTTTGTGTGGGTGCTCTAAGTGCTTGTGATCCCTGGGGCTGGCCAGGCATACATGTGGTGTGTATGTGCACCCCATGTGTGTCTGCCTGCTGGGAGTGCGCCTTCAGCCTTGCTGCCACTGGACCTGGACCATGGAGCAGCAGCAGCATCTCTCAGGCTGCTGGATCCAGCACAATACATTTTCCTCTAACAAATACCATAAACACCAAATTACTATTTGTCCATGACTAAGCAAGAGAAGGAAAAAAAAAAAAGGGAAGAAAAGACCGTTTAAAAAAAGAACGGGGAAAAAAAAAAAAGAGACTACATACCTGTGCATCAGCTTTCCAGAGGCTTCATTCACAAGGACTCCATTTTCTATAGGCTTTCCTTCCTTTCCAGATGGACTATTCGTATCTGGGCGGGATGAAAAAGTAAACATGAAAATAGTAAGCAACAAGACTATAGTGTTTCCTTTCCATCCTAAATGCCAGGTGCAGTCCTCATGTGCAAGCAAAGGAGGGAACACAAGTAAGCCTTTACATACAGTAGCTGACCAGGTGAACAAATCAATTTAGTTCCACCCCAAACAAGACTAGCTGCCAAGACAGTGAACATTTATTTCTTTATTCTTCTATCAAATGGAGGTCAGTAGTAATAATGTAATATAATTACAGGGACATATTTGTTGTTAAAGCATGCAATACCAAGTCACACTGTAACTGTAGGGGAAAAAAAAAAAAAAAGGCAAACAGTCCAACCTCTCCTTTTCCAAACATATTTTTTACACAGTTAACTATAAAGTACTTTAATTTCAGAATGCATTGAGAAGATATTCTGGTAACAATGGAGCAAAGCTGTACAAACAGAAAGCCTGTGCTATTAGCTTTGGGCCTTCCTGCAAAATTAAGAGGAAACCAACATGCAAAAAACACAGCATACACAAGACAATTGTCTAAAACACTTCACAAAACCCAGCTTGAAATATTGTGCTTTCCCTGAGCAACTTAAGTCTGGTTGTAATCCAGTGCCATGAGCAAAACTTCTAGGTTCAAGATATGGCATTATTTTCCTAATACAAACCAAATGATAGACTCCTAAAAAATTAACTATCAATTAAATTCATTATTGTCAAATATGAAAGTTAATTTAAAATTTTAACGAAGAAAATTTTCATTTTGAAGGTTTATGCAAACTGAAAAGCACATCTGCATCTGTTCAAAGGATATGCAGGAAACTTTGTGTAGATCTATAGTCTGAAGTTTTCATGTTTTTACATTAAAGCAAAATACATGCATGAAACACTTCACCAATACAATGTGTGGACTCCTGTGTCTGAAAACTGAACATTGGTTTATTACTCTAAAAACCCAAAGCTACATTTTTCAGCATGGTCTAGAAGCAAAAAAAGGCAGAAAACATGGATATGTGAAGAGTTTGATGACTTATTTTTATTGATACAAATGAGAGCAAACCAATATGGAACTGCTGGTTATTTTAAGCACTTGACAGCATTGCTTTTGAAAAGCTCCCACATGAAAACCAGGGAGCATTCCATAGTCATACTGCTTTAGAGCATCACTGAAGGTCTAAACCCTCACAAGCAAAACAAAACCACAAAGAAACCATCCTGCCCCAAGAGATCTTAGATTTGATTTTGTGTTGTAGGCTACAGAGGTTTCCTGAGGATACTGCAATTACCTCTTGAGAACAAATAATGCTCAAGCTTGCCACAGGAAGTCTGGCATGTGCACTTAGGGTATAAGCTCTCTAATGAGGGTTCTGTTGAAAAATGGGTCCAGAACTGATAAAAGGGAACAGTTGTGAAGAACTGAATACACATACAAAAACAAAAAAGGACCCTCAGGGCTCAATCTTGAACAACTCCTCTTAGAGGCACTCACTACACTCCTAAGTTCAGGGTGCATCTATAAAGCTTATTTAAGGCTTCCTCACGGAAGTGTTTGAGATAAAGAATGGCTGCTCATGAATTATCTACAAGCTGACACACCAACCATTGCAGTGTCACACAATTACCACACAAACCAAGCAGTTACCTTCTACTGTTCAGACAAAATTCTTCAAGTAACAACTCAATCTCTTGTAAATGAACTGCAGCTGCTCATATTACTCCAAAACAAGCACTAATATAAAGCCACATGGCAAAAAAAGCAGTTACCTGTTTCCAGAGGTTGAATCGCTCCTTCTAATGAAGGCTCTGAGTCTAAAAGTATATATGATTAACTTTTTCCAGAACACACTCAACCACTTTCAATCTTTGCAAACACAAATGCATTCAAGTAGCAAAACCTAAACCACAAAACCGCAGACAGAATCAAATTTTGCTTAAATGGACCTCTTTTTAATTGCAAACCTCACGCAGTCAAAAAGTTACAAACTTGAGGAAAAAAAAAATCTAAATCAGATGGCTACAAGTGAACAATCAAGAAACTTCCTTTCTTTCAAGATATGCATTAAGGAAGAGATAAAGATTACTCTGAAATGGCTCCATACAGTTTCCCTGTGGTGGGAAAGAAACTTCATTAAAGAATCTTAAGAGAGGCCCTGGCCTTAAGGTTAAAGATGCAAAGCAGCACGTTTCTGAGTGACATTTCTCCTCCCACTGCGCTGCTACTCCGCCTTGCTTTAGACCTGCCACTCTAAGGAGGGAGGAGAGCACAGGTTCAATTAGTCCCATCTACTATGTAGCCCCCAGTCATCATCCTGCATATGCAGATCAGTAAGAAATACTGAGATACTTCACTCCTCCAAGCATCTTGACACCCTAACAGCACTCATCTGGAATTAATATTTCCTTCTGTCTTTTGGGGAACAGGCTGCAAATAACTTTTACTTTAGGAGAGAGAAGGAAGATTATTGATTTTTGCTAGAAGTACAATGAATTTAAAAGAAAGTCAGATTATTTCCTGACACAGACAAGTGCTTCCTGAATTACCACTCCAGTCCAGACTCCACAAGAACATTTGGAAAAAAAGCCTACTCATGTCAATATTTAACTCTTGCCTTCCAAGAAGTCAGAGAGGGGGAAAAGCACCCAGCCATCCCTACAGGCATCATGCAAGCTACTTTAATGATCCATGACTACTACTAAGCTTAACTCAACCACATGCTGTTGGAAGGAAGCAGAGCCACAAAATCCAGGTTTGCTGGACTGCACTGGGAGACAGCATTTATCACAAAGGCACAATGCTTCTCCTTGCAGATATGAAATGCACACTATTGCCAAGCTCACACAGAGGCCAAGCAAGGCCCTGCGAATCTTACTCCTCTACCATATAATCTTTTCCAAAGAGCATGTTTCTACTTCATAGAGAACAACAGCTGGGAGTTGGGGAATTAAGTCCAGAAAATTTAAGAAAAAATCTAAACACATTCAAATTGAATAGCTGCAAGTGACTGATCACAACACTTCCCTTCAAGACACACAAGATGTTCAGGTTGTTAAACTAAACCCTACAATCCAGACCCTTCGCCGTTCTCGGAGTACTTTTCTCTCCCTCTCCCTGCAAACCAAAACCCAGTAAGCAGGTTGTGCTGACAGTTCTTCTGTTGAAAAAAAACAAACAAACATTGAACTGCGTAGCCATTGAAAGATATTTTGGCTTTTTCTTTTACTGGAAAGTCACAGAGCCAAGTGGTGGAGAGTCAGCCATCCGAGGCACAGCCCACAGAACATAAATCAGATTCAGGATTACCACTTGTGCTGTACATCTCTCCCTTTCAGAGACTGCAGTCAAGGCCAAAGATGAACCAGACAGTTAAAAAAAATATTTCAGCCTTATGGTGCAGTTGCATTTCTGTAGAGCCACTTTTACTTCCCAGAAACACTGAAAATAGCTCCAGGGTTTTTAAGGACAAATCAAAATTTGTGCTGAAGCCATCTGGAAAAAAGCGCACAACCCCAACCCGCCCCTCATGGTAAAACAAAAATTAACATCTGATGCTTTAGTTTGTATGGAAGACAAGAGAAAACAGTCCTAAGAAATATAATCTTAAAGTAACTCTTTGCTATCTTTACAGCACGAGGTATTGAAGGAACAGCCACAAGACTGGAGGGGAAGACACAGGATGACACCAAAAAAAGAAACGCCCTCACAGGAGTCAGGGGCACATTTCTGACTCCAGGCCAATCAGGAGTAGTACTGGCAACACCACATGCCAGAGAATGGGGCAACTGCTAAAAGCAAGAAAAGAAAAGAAACTGGATGGGTAGGTTGTTTTACATGGAGTTCCAGTTACTTTGGAGAAGATTACACAGCACAGACTCAGTAAGGCTTAGAGCAGCAGTGCAGCACTCGGCGCTCCCCGGGCTGGGCAGCTACTGCTACCACCCCTGTTGCTGCCCTCTGCATCACGGAGGAGGATGGGGAAAAAGGGGCAGCTTTTTTTTCTAGAGGGGGGAGTTTTCCCACACAGAAGAAACACCATGAACCTGAGGACAGGAAAGGCAGCAGGACCACACCCAGCCAGCAGGCAACCCTCAGGAATCCCACTGGGAGAGGAGGGCTGGGAGCCAATGGGGAGCAGACTCCCAGCCAAACCTCAGAGGCCGGGGAGAGGCTTTCCTACCCTTGCAGAAGCAGGATGTATTTCAGCCAGAAAGCAGCAATCCATGCTTTTCTATTTTGCTGCAGATTAAGTGTTTTCGGGGTGGCCAACAGGTAGCTTCAGACCCCCTTTTGAAGTGGGTATGCAGAGCCCCTTCAGCTAGCTCAGGCTGACTCCCATCACACCTTACTCTGTTCATCCAAGAACCTGTGATTTTAAAGAATTTTTAATGATCTTTTACATGTCTGATAAATATTAATCTTCTCCCTGTCAATCAGACAAGTAACACCCAAATTTTCACTTTTTACCATTGGCAGAAGATCACTTGACCAAAACTGAGAAACAAATTTGCTGCCAATAGGCGAACCCTGCAAAACAGCAATCCTCTGAATCACCAGGGTCACGTACTTAGCAGACAGCCAGAGAAGCAGGGCAAAAGATAAAGCACTGCTTCACTTTCCAAAAGACGATTCAGTATTCAAGGGGAGAAGTAAAGTAACTTAGTTTCATGAAAAAGATTTCAAAACCTGCTATGCACACGGCAAGGGAAGGAGACAAAGGCTAAACCAGCAAGCCTAATAAAGGAGGCATATATTTGTACAAGTTAACTTCCTAGGGAAGCACAGAGAAAGTTTATTTGTCTCTGGGAGTGTCATACACTGAACACTGCAACAAGTCTGAGTCTGCCCAAAGCAGCTACAGAAGCACCAACAGAAAATACACAGAAGACAGCCTGATTTTGCTTCCACAGAATCTCTTCATGCAGTTATTTTTCACAGTGGGAGACCCCATCCACACAGCACCTGCTGTTTACAGACAGTGTCCATCCAAAGCAGTGTCCCAGTCTGCAGAATGACAACAGAGACCTATCCAGAGACCCTTCTGAGAGGAGAGCTAGGCTACAGCCAGGCAGCCTGACCTTGAGCCTCAGCTCAACACATCACCTCCCCAAATCCAACTCCTCATCGGAGATAGCTGGATGCATGAGAGGGAGTCAGGAGAAGATGCCACCTTGCATATCCAGGAAACCAACTCTGCTGCTCACAGACTCCAAGGGCAGTCTGTGTTGCCAGCCTTGATAGTAGAGGGCAGCTTCAGAGAATAAGGCTGACCATCACAACCCTCAAACAAGGAACTTTTAGATGAACACCAGGAGCACCTCCTTGCCTAAGGCAGCCATTCAACACCTCTTTTAACACTTCAGTTTCACCAGTGCAGCTGGTACTGTGGCACCATTTCCCTTTTGCCTGTGAGAAGGGGACTAAAATATGCCTCTGCTTTCCCTCTAGGGAATGGCTGGGAACC